GGTTCTCTACAAGGCGCATCGAATCAAATGATTCAGGTATTGGTACCACAAGCGGCTGGTAAAGAGAAAATGGAGGATAAAGGAAATCAATCTCATCAGACTGGTACATCAAGAGCGATAATTTACCCTGGAGCATCTAACTCAAACCCAGGAATGAGCCTCGTCAATTTTGAGCAATTTGAAGACGAATTCAAGTGGTTGAATGAAGCCATTAAAGATATGAAGGTTATTAATGCCTCCCACAAGGAGTTAGAAGCTAGAGAACTCAGTCTGGTCCCTGATTTGGTCATCCCACATGAATTTAGGTGCCTAGCTTTGAAAAATATGATGACACTAATTTTCCCCTAATACATTTGAGGATATTTTGTAGAAAGATGGAAGGGTACTTAAATAATGATAACTTGATGATTCATTTCTTCCATGATAGTCTTGCTGGTCTAGCTATAGTATGGTACAACTGGTTGAACAGAGAACAGATCAAGACATGGGTCAACCTAGCTGATGCTTTTATAGGGCAATATCAATATGTTAAAGGCTTAACCCCAAAATGTCATAACCTTCAAAGAATAAGGATGAAAGCTACTGAGAGCTTTAAAGAATATGCCCTAAGATGGAGAGGGGTGGCAACACAAGTTCAGCCTCCTTTTTTAGAAGAATAAATATCATATATGTTTCACTATTCTCTCTCAGCTCCTTTCTTTGAGTTAATGTTGGGAAACTCGACGAATGGCTTTAAGGATCTTATGCTGGTTGGAGAGTCAATTGAAGATGTAATCAACAAAGAAAACTTGAAGGTCACTTCCAAACGTCCAACTGACCAAGAGGGAAAAGCTGATGAGGTGAATGAATGTCACGTCCAGAGCTCCCACAGCCGTAAAAGAAAAGGGGCATCAAGTTACTCGAGTCGTCAAAGAAAGTACCAAGATCAAAAAATACTTAGAAAGCGTTCCAAATTTCTATCTCGGATCTATATCCCCATTTGGTTAAAGGTCAATACCTCACACCGAAGCCAGTGAAAGTAAAACCAGACCCTTCTGCTCATAGATATGATCAAGATAATGCATGTGATTTTCACCTAGGGCCATTGGGGCATTCTATGGGGAATTGTAGGCCTCTTTTGAAGGAGATAAAGATGCTTGTGAAAAATGGGACGTTGACAAGAGAATTGGTGAAACAATGGATGACGAGATCGAATGGGGCATCAGAACGTAATGTGTAGCACCCGATCAAATCAAACACCACTGCATCAGAAGAGTAATGGGGTGTCCTAATTAGGAAGAAGTCATTTCATGGAACTTTATGTCATTTGTAACATCTTGTTTGAACATGTGTTTTGACTTTCTCATTATTTTTTGTGATGTTGTTTAAATGAATTCATGTTACTTTAAGGATGGTGAGCATTGAATCGAATTTATGACTTGAAATTCTTTAAATATCAACTGAATTAAAAGCTCTTTAATAATGATGAGTTGTAAATCTTTGACAAAATGACAAAGTTGAAACTTGATAAAACAAGGACCTTGACCTTATCCCCAGAAGATACAATTGAACACCGTACCTTTTTTACATGGACCGATATAGCCCTCTCCTCTTATAAGGAAATGAACAATAGGTTTGGTATTCAGGTATGCATAGGAGCGGACAACATAGGGCATCTTTTGTGTATGACATCACAAAACTGTCTAGACCATACTTTTGTTGATGAAAGTTCAATGATGATTATGATATGTACTGATGGAATAGTCGAGTAGGTGAATTTAATTTAGGATAGTTGCTTGGAAATTGAACTCTAACGATGAGATTTTCTGACTTTCAACAACACCTAGACTATGACAGGTTCTTCTGGACAAGCTTAAGAAATTGAATACGCATACCCAACAAAAAATATATGTAATATATCTGTATACAATAAAGCTGAGCTATTCCACTAAGGCAATTGGTTATAAAGGAAACTCGAAAGCCATGGCTTTATGAATAGATTATATTCAAATCATGACCCTGATCGGGTACCTGGCAATTCAGTGTATAATCCACTGTGATTGTCAAGTCAAAGACTTTGTGATGAGATGAATCCTTCAGCTAGCCCGATAAATAAAAATTACAATAAAGCTGATTTCAGCTAGTTATGCAATGGAAAATTAAATCAAGTTATCTAAATAAGGAGTTGCGATAAAGATGGACTAAGGTAGTTAAGGAACACCTATTATAGTCAATTTCACACGAGCACTCAGAAATATCATTTTTATATTGATATTTCTGCACTGCCTTTGTTAGAGGAACTTATGAAGCTTGAAAAAATGAAAGATTTCAGAGAACTGAAATGGAAGTTTTCTAGAAAGTCTAGTAATTAATTATGCTAGTTACGTCATTTTGTCCACGTCCGATTAAAATACCAAGCCAAGAAAGAAAGGCATGTTGCGATATTCACAATGATCAAGAAAGAAATGACATTCTGGTGGTCGAAACCTTAGAAAATAGAAAGCCAACCTGAAGCCAACCCCTCAATTTTAACACTTGTCAAAGAGCTATAACCCTGAAAACATTAAAGAGCTAATGATTCTTTTGATATTTTGTGAACTCATGTCTATGATTTGACTTGATTGCGAGCATGAATTAAGGGGCAATATTTTATAAAATTCTTTCATTCTTTGATCTTTGAAATAAGAGAAAGAAGAAAAACATTTTCAAACATGACAGTTCAAATGTAAAAGGTCATTGAATCTGGTGAGGCTCATTGTACCTCCATTGGAGAAGAAGAATACACAATTCCAGGATATGAAGCATTTCGCAATCTTGAAGCAGATGGTCCGAGAGATTAGAGCGGATGAAGGATAGAACTGGTAACATTTCCTTAGGATGTTGTCAGTAACCCATCAAGAAGGAGATGACCTCATTGTTCAGAAGGGGCACATATAACAACTTGTATAAAATGCAAGATATTTGGTTAGGAAAATTGATAACTTCTTAAGTGTTTGTGGCAACATGAAGAGAAGCCCTCAAACTATTTGACAACACTACTGTGTAGTGACACCAGAATGAGAATATTCAAGTTAGGATATGTTGGGGCACGACTGAACCCACATTATGTTGAGATGATAACTTTCAGACCAAGGAGGCATGAAGAATGAGCCTTACAATTTGAGGTGATGGGGCATTTTGAAGGCCCGTACTAGTATAAGATAATGTGGGGGCATGACTGAACCCACATCTTGTTGAGATGACAAGATTCAAACCAAGAAGGCATGAAGAATGAGCTTTACAATTTGAGGTGATGTGGCATTTTGAAGGCTTGTACCAGTATAAGATAAGGATGGGGCACGACTGAACCCACGTCAAGATAAGAAAACAAGATTCAGACCAAGAAGCCATTGAGAATGAGTCTCGCAACTTGAAGTGTCAGGGAAGACCTTGAATTTGAGCAAAGCTTATCTTGTAAAGCAAATTAATTGAGCATTGATCAATGGTAGAGTCCTGGGAGAACAACTCTGAAAGAGAATTTGAGCCAATGAAGGAAATGGGGCAATACAGTCATATTCATGACCATAGCAAGAAGTTGAGAGAGAAAATGATTTATCCAAAATAAAGATAGAAAACGAAGACGACAAGAAGATAGAAGAAGATTAGAGAGCTCTTTCAAAATGCAAATTGGAAAATTGTGAGTTGCTACACAAGTATATGAAGTAGACCCTGGAAAGAGTGATCAAGTAGAAGAATACTGAGTTTGCCACTTTGAAGGCAAATGAAGATTAAATCGACATTTATGCATTCATGAGAACATCATTTGTATAAAAGATAATACATTACACTGATACATCTAATTGTATTCGTGTTTCATGCATAAACACATGATTTTGACAAGTTTTCCATTGGAAAGAGAATATGCATGATGTTCAAATCCTAAGTTGAAAGGAAGGTTTCAAGCCTCAAACATAAGGAGTTGCATTTAGAGAGGCATACCCTGAAGAATTGAGAGGTCTAATCCACAGAAGAAGCATTACTCTGAAGTGATAACAATCAGATATAGAAGAAAAATAAAGATTTTTATTTATGAAGAAGTGAATCACCACCTTGAGCCTTCACAGAAGAATAGTGAAGCAAACCCATCAGTAAGTCTTTCGAGCATGATGCTTAAATCCTTCGGGTTATCTGTAAGACTTTAGAGCAAGATGATAAGTCCTTCGGGCCATCCGTAAAACCTTCGGGTAGGATGTTTTTACATGAATTTGAAAATAAAAATGATGTTTTAAGAAGATGAAATTTTTTAAAACTAAGAATGCGATTTTCAAAATTTCACAATTTATAAGTCCTTCGGGCTATAAGTAATTATTTCAAGCATGATGCTTAATTCCTTCGGGTCATCTGTAAGCCTTTAGAGCAAGATGATAAGTCCTTCGGGCCATCCGTAAAACCTTCGGGTAGGATGTTTTCACATGAATTTGAAAATGAAAAATGATGTTTTAAGAAGATGGAATTTTTGAAAACGATGAATGCGATTTTTAAAATTTCACGATTTATAAGTTTTTCGGGCCATCAGTAAGTCTTTCAAGAGTGATGATTAAATCCTTCGGGCATGATGTTTTTCACCAAGATAATAAGTCATCCGAGTCATTTTTAGCCTTTTCAGAAGAGTGTTGGGGAAAACCATTAGATAATCAGATGTAGAAGGAAATCGAAGATTCTCGGGTACAAAGAAGCGAAATAATCGATTAAAAGGGTTTGTGCACGTGAGATGGAGGCGAAAGTAAAGAAGAATATTGAAAAAGGGAAGAAGATGCTGCAGTCAGACAAAATTAGGTTATTTTTTGTCTTTGCTATGTTCTTGTGTTCACAACAACAAGCAAAGAGGGACAGTTGTAATACCCTTATTTTGTCCGGGCAATTTTAAATTCGTTTGAAGATGACCGAGGAATAATTTGACGGTGTTGATACTCGATGAAGAATTAATTCAACTGATAAAGCATGGAAGTATGCATTTGAAAGCTTTTAGGTGCTTAATCAGATTGAAACCACATTTATTTTATTTTGGAAATTAAAGCCCAAATTCGATCCAAAATTTAAAGTAATTGTCTAGAGTCCATCTTATAAGCTCAAAAAAAATTACAAAACAATGGACCCAATCCAGAGCCCAACAGCAGTTCAAGACCCTGTCTGACCCAACACATTGACCCAACCCGGTTCAGCATACTCGACCATTCCACGTGAAGTAGCACACCCAACAGCAAACAAAAGCAAAAATTAGCAGAAAATTGAGCCAAAGTCAATACCTAAATCAACAAGAGGACAAAGATGATTCGGTGGAAAAAGATAGAAAAATGAATCATTCGAGCAAGGCATGGGGGGCTCGGCCAGAAAAAAAAGGGAGCAAGAACTTTTCATCAACAACAGAGGTTTTCCTTGATACTCAGAAAGGAAAACAGAAAAATCTTTGTAACAGGAATATCAACATTGTATTCAAAAGTCGAGAAAACAATAGACATACCTCGAGGTATTATTATTCGGGTTTTCTCTTTATTTTCCAGCTTTATCTTTGTGTATGCTTGCATTATTTTGAAGAAAAAAATAGTGTAAGTTGGTTCATCTCCTTCGATTAAAAGAACAGAACCCGAATGTTCTTCCTGAATCTTCAATAAAAACTGATTCACGCAAGAGTTTTTGTATATATTCAAAAAATTAAGCAGTACAAGCAACATAGAATTTCTGTTTCTTTTGATTAACAATCTAACAATAAAAAAGGCATTCATTTTTGATAGCTAACCCAAAGAAATCAAGCTTTTCGAACCAGAACGTTGATTAAGGGGAGGGAGAGAGCAAAAGGTTTACCTTTATCGGAGCCCAGGCGGTGTTGTTTGTTGAGATTGAAGCGCCTTGAAAGCTCTCAGTTGTGAGGGTTTCGACCAGATGTTTGTTGCCCTTCGGTAAGGGTTTGAAGAAGAGGATAAAGAGAGTGAAGAGTGAAAATGGCGCTGTGAGATTGAGGGAGAAGAAACATGCGGCTGATGAGGTTTTTAATATTAGGTTAGGTTTAGTATTTTAGCTAGTATATATATTAAAGCTTTAGAGAAAATTACGTTATAGTCCCTTGGGTTTAAGAGTTTTTACAAGTTAGTTCCCCGTGGGGACTGATTTCAAATTTACTCCTTTTTGTTTGTCTCAACTTAGTTATTTTCCGAATTTGGTATTTAGTTATATTTTTTTGGTTATTTGAGCTTTGGATCATCGTTTTTTTCTTTATAAATTCATCTTAGTCCTTGAATTGATGTTTTTGTATTTCTAATTTTTGTTTCCATGTTTTCCTGTACTTAATTTGGTCTCTTTATTTTATGCATGTGAATTTTAGTCATATTCCTAACTTTCTGCCCTTTTACATTAATGTATCTTATTTCTTGCAATTTTCATTTAAGCCATATATATGTTTCCTTCATTATATAGTTTCCTTACATACGTATTTGGTTTAATTTGAATTTAGTGTATCATGATGGTTGTATATTTATGGTAGTATTTTATTAGTTTTAGCTTTCCAGTTTTAAGTTATACCCTGATTGTTTGGTTCATCTTTGTCACTTATACCTTGTATTTAATACATTCATTAGATTGATTTCTTTCCCCATACGTTCAACCCTTTCTTATTTTTGATTGATGAAATCTATAATTTTGACATTCGCACATGTTAGGATCCCGTATTTTCTGCATGAAATATCTTATATGTATACTTTCTAAACGTGTTTTATGCATTAAATAGCATATATATATATACGCGTCCTTTTGCAAATGAAATATAACATGTATACTTTGCATACCCCCCTTACGAAGGAATTTAATACACGCATATATACATGTCGACCCCATAATGTTTCCCATTTCATTTCTTTTACACGGTAAAGTAATATGTATTTGTCAATAATGAATTTATTATATGTTTCATTAAAATATTTAGGTATACGTGTATTTTTTTTGTAGCCGTATTTAAATACTATTAGTTTTTTAACATGTTTATAAATTACATATATAGTTGCATTCACTTGTACATATGAATTTAGTTACATGACATCTTTAATTAATTTCGTATGATATCATCATAAGCATCACTCGACTCGAATCGAAATAAATTGATTAAGGGCAATACCCTTTTAATTTAAAATTATTTTAAGTGGGTTGTCTTAACTTATTAGAGATCTGCTCTTGACGATTTTAAATTAAAAGTGTATCCCGTTAGTGACATCTAAAAATTGATTCATCACCTTAAAATTTGGGAATGAAAGAAAAGGAAATATTCGACTATTTAAATTTTTCGAGAAAAGGTCGTTAGAACTCACATAAAGATCTGGTCTCGATATTTTTAAATAATCGAATATTCTTTATCTTTCTAATGGCTTGATAATTCTAATTTAACTTATTTTGTTATTTTTTGAATGTTATAAAATTCACATTTTTGTTGTTTTAAAGGATCAAAAATTAAATTAAAGTTGAACTTGTAAAATTCGTTGCAAAGACATTAATTAATCGATTAGGTACCGATTTAGGACGTTGTGGGAGTGCTAATCCTTCCCCACGTGTAACCGACTCCCGAACTCATTTTCTGGTAACGTAAACAACTATTTGTTGTTTTAATTAAAATTAAGTTTTATTTAAAATGACAACGTTTTTGGGTGCCCAATCACACCCTAATCAAAGATTGGTGGCGACTCCTCGAACCGTATTTGTTTTTTATCGTAAAAGAATTTTCAAATTTTCGAAACGAAAAGTTTTTTAAGAATCACATTGTTTTTAATTAAAAAATCACAAAGAGAAATTAAAAATGACGTGATTTTTGAAATCTTGCTCCCCCTTGAAAAAATTATTTCGACAGTCCTATAAGCTCATAATGCTTCTTTAAGGCGTTGTGACCAATCTTTTCTAGAAGGATTCACAACCTTCTTAAGATTTTTTTATTTTCTCGATTAGAGACATCATCTTAGCCATTGGTTTACGGATGATATGCTATAGCAATATTATGATTTACACCATAATGGTGTAGTGCTCTAGCAACTTGGTTTCGAATGAATTGATATCCTTCATCATTGATAAATGCTCAGGGTGTTATAAAGTGAGTGAAGATATTTTTGTGTAGGAATCGTAATATGCTTTAGCATTGTTGGTTGGCAAGGCTAAAACTTCATCCCATTTGGACACAAAGTTAACAACAACTAAAATAAAGAGGTTTCCACAAAAACATGGGTAAGGGCCCATAAAATCCAGTCCCCAAACATTGAAAAGTTCAATCTCCAAGATAGGTTGCATTGAGATTTCATTTCATCGAGAAATATTACCCGTTCGCTGGCAGGGATCATAATGCTTCACATATTCATTAGCATCTTTGAATAGCGATGGCTAGTAATACCTACATTGAAACACCTTCATTTTTGTACGCATATAACCACAATGACCTCCATAAGGGGTGTTATGGCAATGCTATAGAAAACTTTATTCCTCACACTCAGTAATACATCACCGTAGAATTTGATCACTACATTGTTTGAATAGATAAGACTCCTCCCAATGGTATTGCTTTACATCCCTCATGAATTTTTCTACCTTGATAGTTATGATCGGGTAGCATCATTACACTAACTAAATAGTTGGGAAAGTCAGTATGCCATGGTGTTGACACTAATTTTTCGTCCTCAACACACTCACCAAGATCCCACGAAAATCTCAATGCCTTTAACCCACCAAAATCAACATCCCACTAAACTCATTAATCCCAAAAAATACGGGATTCAAGTCACTAAAATCTACCACGCAAGCAACTATAAAGAGGAGAGAAGCATTCGAGAAAGAGGGAGGAAAGAGAGAGAGCTACAACCAGGGGGATTTTCAGAAACGAAAAGGGACAAAAAAATCGGAGAACAAGAAACACGAGATTACAGAGAGAAATCCAAAACCGAAAGCAAATATTCCAAGCATTTCTGAAAGCAAATATTTCACAGCAATCGATCCAAAAAACTAATAGGAGAGTTTCGTTTTTACCTTGGCCTTTCGAGGTCTCTTCGCCGAGTACGAGATCATCGTTCGTCGGAGTTTTGAAGCGTGGAATAGCCGCCAAGGCAGTGGCCGTTTGGCCCTTTCGTCCTTTGGGTCGACGCCGGTCGTGGGAAGAGAAAGGAGGGTTACAATTTGATTTGTTTTTTGGTTTGTAAGTCTATTGGAATAGATAAAGGGTGGATTGTTTACTTTTAATTTTTGGGTAAATCATGTGTCAGGTCCTTGGGGTCTGGAAACTTCATGCTTTGTTCATTTATCTTAAGGGTTAATCATTTTTCCCTTTTATTTTGCATTCGTTTTATTTTAGTCCATATTTGTAATAATTTTAGTTGTTCTGGTTTATTTACGTGATCAGTTCTCATTAAATATTATTACTTATGATTTAGCCATATTATTTATGCATGTTTTATTTTGGTCATTAATGCAATTAATTGTCTTTACTTTTATTTTTCTATTTCAAAACTTAACCTTTTATTATTATTTTTTTATTCTATTTTGTTTTTCTACTTTTATTTATTTTATTTTATTTTCTATTTATTTATTATTATTATTATTTTTTTTATTGTTTTACTCAATTTCACTTATCTTTATTTTGTTGTTATATATATTTTTATTTATTTTTGTTTTCACATTTATTTAATATTTTTTCTTTTGATTTATTTTTGCTTTTATTTTTTCTTCATTTTTTCCCTTTTTCCCTTTTGATTTATTTTATTTTATTTTTCATTTTCCATTTGATTTTTTTTAACATTTATTTATCATTTGTTATCTAATATTTTCACCAATTTTTAGAGAAATTCCAACAAATCAGAGGTTAGTAATTTGAATCGAACGTTTTAAATTTAAATTTAAATTTTTGCAAATAAAGACAATCAGTAAATTAATTGGTACCGAAAGGGCGGTTCAAGGGTGCTAATCCTTCCTTGACCATAACAGACTCCCGAATCCGATACATTTCTGGTAAAAAGAAGATCAGGTAACATAGTGTCCAATCCACCTAACTATTTTTAAAAATGATCAGTGGTGACTCCAAATCATTTTTCCTAAGTCAAAGCCTAATTCTGGGCCCAACCGAAAGGCGGCCGTGACAACTTGGCAACTCCACTGGAGACAGGTAAGTGAGTCAAGCCAGAATTAATTTTCGGTTGTCTTTTTATGCGAAAATTATAAATTTAAATTTATTTATTCGATTCCAATTAGTTATTTTGATTATTTCTCAAATAAATAGTTGTATTGACGTTTTTTCAATGATTTCAGATTTTCAAAATTTTTCGTCTGAAGCTCTATACCCGAGCTTTGAACCCTTTTCAAGTGGGGGTGAAAGCGACGCCTTCGTGAGAATTTATTCTCCGTGCGGGCCTAGCAAGTCACCTTCAGGATTCATATACCTTATATCTTCGTGTGAATTTATTCACCGTGCGGGCATAAGGGAATGTATCATCTCGAGTTTAACTTAGCCGACATGAGCTTGTAATGGGCTTAGGACTAGGGTCTGGGAAGCCCAAAGGGCACCAGCAAGGAGAACTCGGGTACCTTTTTTTAAATCTAAATAGGGATATTACAGGGAATTAGAGCCCACCCCAAAACCTCATTCCAAACCCTAGGTTGCTTTGTTTCATGCTTTACTTTCTGTTCAAAGCATGCGAACTAGACAAATATGCGGTTAGGATTTGTTTTGAAATTAGCATGCAGGATAGAGATCATGTCCAGGTAGGAATTAAAGCATGTGGGGTAGTTATCATATGGGGTAGGATTTTTCATTTTTATTATTGTTTTGATTTACCTCACTAACTCTTTTTTATTTTTGTTCTCTTTTATTTTTTCATCATTCACATCATTTAAAAGAGGTGTTGATCCACCAAAAATGTGTTTGTTAAACATGAATAATCTGTATTAATGGACAAAGGGGTTGTAATACAAGAGGTGAAAAACGTAGAGGTCCAGCTATGGTCAGAGAGATAATTTGCAAGAC